GCTGAAAGGTATTCTTTAAGAGAGGAGGAAGAAGAAAAAGGTAAAGATAAAAATTATGAACAACAAATACATATCTATCAACAAGTGAATCTAAAAATCAAGTGAATAAAAAATCTGATGAACAGAATAAACTGGTGAATATAATAGAATCAGGGGCATAGAAAGGGAGTGGACTGAAAATTCTTGGGGGGAACGGGGTGTGGGGGTGCAGGAAGAGACTGGATAAAAATTGTACACCTATGGATGAGGACAGTGGGTGGGGGGTAAGGGCAGAGGGTGGGGTGGGAACCGAGTGGAGGGGAGCTATGGGGGGGAAAAGAGGAACAACTGTAATAATATGAACAATAAAGATTTAATATAAAAAAAATCAATGGGAAAAAAATCCTCAGGTGAGGATTAACAATAAATAAGTAAATAAATAATAAATATATCAACAGCATATTTCACAGATCTGGGACAAACTCTCCAAAAATTCATATGGAATAAAAAAAAGACCCCAAATAGCCACAGAAATCCTGAGAAAGAAGAACAAAGTTGGAGGGATCACAATACCAGATATCAAGCTATATTACAAAGCCACTGTTCTCAAAACTGCCTGGTACTGGCATAAGAACAGGCATATAGACCAATGGAACCAGAGAACCCAGAAATTGGCCCAAGCCATTATGCTCAATTAATATTTGACAAAGGAGGCAAGAGCATACAATGGAGTCAAGACAGTCTTTTCAATAAATGGTGTTGGGAAAATTGGACAGATACATGCAAAATAAATGAAACTAGACCAGAACTTACACCATATGTCATAGCAATATTTTTAGCAATACAGCTCTTCGGGCAATGGAAACTAAGGAGAAAATAAACAAATGGGACTACATTAAAGTAAAAAGCTTCTGCACAGCAAAAGAAACCATCAACAAAACAACAAGAAAGCCCACTGCATGGGAGAACATATTTGCCAATGTTATCACCGATAAGGGTTTAATCTCCAAAATTCACAGGGAACTCATACAACTTAACAAAAGGAAGAAGATAAACAATCCAATCAAATAATTGGCAAAGGACCTAACTAGATACTTTTCGAAACAGGACATACAGAAGGCCAAAAGACATATGAAAACATGCTCAAAGTCACTAATCATCCAAGAGATGCAAATAAAAATGACAATGAGGTACCATCTCACACCTGTCAGAATGGCTATCATCAACAAATCAATGAACGACAACTGCTGGCGAGGATGCAGAGAAAAAGGAACCCTCGTGCACTGCTGGTGGGAATGCAGACTGGTGCAGCCACTGTGGAGAACAGTATGGTGTTTCCTCAAAAAATTAAAAATGGAACTCCCATTTGACCCAGTAATCCCACTTCTCGGAATATATCCCAAGAAAACAGAAACTCCAATCTGAAAGCATATATGCACCCCTATGTTCACAGCGGCACAATTCACCATAGCTAAGATTTGGAAACAGCCTCAGTGCCCATCAGCAGATGAGTGGATTAGAAAACCTTGGTACATCTACACAATGGAATACTACCCTGCTGTAAAAAAGAAGGAACTCTTACCATTTGCAACAGCATGGATGGACCTGGAGAGCATTATGCTAAGTGAAATAAGCCAGTCGGAGAAAGATAAATATCACATGATCTCACTCATATGTGGAATATAATGAACAACATAAATTGATGAATAAAAATAGAGCCAGAGACATAGAAGTATCGCACAGACTGTCCAACCTAAGAGGGAAGGGGTAAGAGATCAACCAAAGGTCTTGCATGCATATCAGCATAACCAATGGACACAGACAGGAGGGGGGAGAGGGTATGTGCTGGGGGTGGGAACGGCAAGGAGGGGACAATGACGGGGGAAGGAGACTTACATAATAAGTCTTAGACAATAAAGAATTTAAATTTTATTTAAGTGAAAGTGATTTGTAAAAGTTGGGTAGTGGGTGTTTGGGCATTTATTTTTCTTCATTTTTGCCTCTAAGCTTACATGCTTTATAATAAAATCATTTGAAGCCTCATGTGCATAGGATTAGAGAATTTCAAGATGTAATATGGCCAGGATAATCATTTATGTTACAAATTTTCAAGGTGGCCACACTTCAGAAAGGCTCAGTAGTTTGTGTTGCTGGGTATGCGTCTCTCCTATAAAACATGTCATGATTCAGCTTCTTAATTGATTCTGGCTTTTTCCCTCATTATTTTGTATTGAGTAAATCATGCTTTTAAAATTCTGATTAAAGAAAAATTAACCCAAATATGACAGAGGAGGGTGTAGTTGACTGTAGTTAACCAGCGGCTTCTGTTTGGGCGGGGCTGGCGAGGGCCCCTGCAGGCTCACTCCAAGGGAGGCCGCCTCCCACTCCTGCCCATGGCTGCAGGCTGTGGAGGTCCTATGTTTCCTGTGAGTCAGTGGGGCAGAGCTCCTGCCCATTCCTGTCACCAAGAACAAGCGACCAGCTCTGGCCACACTCTCTGGGGGCATGCCCTGGGCGTGGCCACCGCCACGGGGAGGTGAGCGCCAGCCATGCGGGCAGCTGAGCCCGGGCTCCCACAGATGCTCCTCCCAGCCCTGCGAGTGCTCTACCTCCCTGGGCGGAGGGACTTCGCCCGTGTGAGCACTTGGGCATCTTGAGCTCAGAGGTGACGCGAGGTTACCCAGGTGGGTGCTGGTGAGAGGAGGAAAGGACAGGAAGGCAGAGCCCAGTGGCACAACCACAAGCCAAGGACTGTGAGCCGCCTCCAGACAGCAGGCCAGGGACAGACTCTCCCAGAGCCTCCGGACAGAACCCCGCCCCCGCAGCCTGGGTTTTAGTCCAGTGAAAGGGATTCTGGACTTCTGGGCTCTGCACATGTGAGATGATGCACATGTCATCGCAAGTCACTCAGTCCTTGGTCATTTCCTAGGCAGCCACAGGAGACGAATCCAAACAGACTGTGGCTGAGAGAGGAAGAGCCAGGGCTGGGAGGGGAGAGAGCAAGGGTTATGTTCTGAGCCAGCCTTCCTGGTGGCAACCCCGGCCCCGTGGTGGTCAGCCGGGTCGTCGGGAGCAGTGGGCCTCGTCTGCCTTTGCTCGCTCATCTGCGAAATGAGTGATAGCAGAACCCGCCTCGGGGGCATTAGGAGCCGGAACAGCACGGTGCACGCAGTGTTTGCCCAGCGCCTGGCACCGATGGAGCGGAGGTGCAGTAAACATTAACGATTATTATCTGAGCCCGCAGCTGCTCACAGGCTTTGCCATATGTTTATGGTGCCCAGGTTTACTGGCCTGTTTAATAAGACACTCTTCCTTCTGGCGACCACATGAATTCTGTGTTTCTCTGTATATAAAGCTAGATTCCCTGCTCGTTGGGGGCAGTGACACTGGGGCTGAGTGCATGGTCCTTGCTTGGTGGGCATTTATTTTGTTTTCATTGGGCACAGAAATAAGTACAAGTGTCTTTTATGCAAGAAGAGGTTTGTGGTTACCTGTTTGGGTCTTGACTCAGAGGCCTGGGGTTCGCATCCTCCTGCCTGTCCTTGCACTCAGGCAGGTCTCCCTAAAACCCCGGGTCCTGCCTGGGCGGGAGGACCCCTGCAGTGCTGGGCGTGCGGGCCAATTGGGGTTGTTCTAACTCTAAAGTTGTGGGAATGTAAGAAGCTTCCTAGCTCGTGGCCAGCATGGCATGGCTCCGGGAAGGGAACTCACTGGGGTTCTGTCCTGTTTCAGTCGACAGCGCCCTCAGGTGGTGCGGCCTTTGGGCACTTTTATGGCAACTGGCTCAGTATAAGCTCCTTTCAGCTCATAGGAAATGTCCCCCTCTCAGTGGCAATGGGGCTGCCAAGTGCTTCATTCCAGGCCGAGAGGACCTTGTGCGCTGTGCGGCGGAAGGCAGCCCAGGGCAGGGCGCTGGGGGGGGGGGGGGGGGGGGGGCGGGGGCAGACAGCGCGGGCAGGTGGCAGTGCGGGGTGCAGAGAGGCAGGAGGTGCGCGGGGAGCTGTCCCCGAAGAAGAACAGCGTGTGAAGAGCTGCAGGCGCCCAGCTTGGGAGCTGACCCAGAGCCCTTCCTCCACCAGGCGTGCAAGGGGCTGTAGGCAATAGACACCGTGAGTCCCGGGTTTGGAAATGCTAAGAGTTTCTTTCCTTTATGAAGTCTCAGAGCCTAGTAGCACACTTAAAATTTCCCAGTAGTGGATATAATAGATAGGTAGAAATGAGACCCAAAACTAAAGAATCAGAGAAAGAGAGAGAGAGAGAGACTCAGGATGAGGGATAGAAAACAACTGGTGACCAATTGCATGGTGAGGATGGGGGTGCTGAGTGGTGGGGCGCCGAGGAGGCGTGGCGGGGAGAGAGTTCAATACAATTTCAAGGTGAGGATCGTAGGCAGTAGCAGCATTTCACACACCAGAGGAAAGAGAAGGTGGAACTGATTGTATAGAACAGTGATGGCGACCCTATGACACGCGTGTCAGAGGTGACATGCGAACTCATTTTTTTTTGGTTGATTTTTCTTTGTTAAATGGCAATTAAATATATAAAATAAATATCAAAAATATAAATCTTTGTCTTACTATGGTTGCAAATACCAAAAAATTTCTATATGTGACACGGCACCAGAGTTAACCAGAGTTAGGGTTTTTCAAAATGCTGACACGCCGAGCTCAAAAGGTTCACCATCACTGGTCTAGAAAGATGATGGGGTTTGCAGTTCTTAGGACTTGTTTTCTTCATGATGCTGACAGGATAGCTGATGGGCCGAGGTCCACAGACCTTCGATCATGTGGATCTGGAGAAAACGAGTGGCAGGGACAAAGCTGGGTGAAGTTGAGGAGTTCAGACTGGGTACCGAGAGACCTCGAGAGAAAGCAGGGTCCCGAGGATGCAAACCACGTCCAATTACGGAAATCAGTTGATGATGTTGTGGTCGTGGGCAGAAGGGTGCGCATGTTGAGCTCTCAAGTGCCAACTCATATTCTGATTAGGATCACTAATGGCAGCTGTATCTGTCCTTGCAGAATCACCACTTGTGCAATGACTATGAACAAGTATGTGGAAGAAAATGTATCTCAGAAATCCTACACGACCATCAAGTACTTCATGAAGATGTTGAGCAGTGTCAGCGAGACCCTGATCTTCATCTTCATGGGCGTGTCCACCGTGGGGAAGAACCACGAGTGGAACTGGGCCTTCGTCAGCTTCACGCTGGCCTTCTGCCTGGTCTGGAGAGCCCTGGGTGAGGAGCACGTTGCCCCAGAGAACAGCCATCGGCTCACAAAAGAGCGGGACTTCTTCTCGCCCCTCCCTGCTGCTGCTGCTCATCTTCCTTCCTTTCTTCATGCTCCCCATCTCCCTCTCTTCCTCCTCTTTTTCCTTTCATCCTCATTCTTTTCCTCTTTCTTCTCTTCTCCCTCTCCCTCTTCTGTTCTTTTCTTCCTCGAGCATCTTCATGCCTTTGTTATAAGTCAAGTTAACCTTTCTTGACTCATCTGAGTCCACATTTTAACCCATGAGCTTTCACCAAGAGCCTAGTCGTATAAGGAGAGGAAGGGGCCAGATTCCTTGGGGCCTATGCTGAAGTCCTTTCCCTGCCACAGAAGCTCAGAAAACGAGTCTTTGAATTTACACCCCTGGCTCACACAGGCCGGTGTTTTGGTTGTTCTCCTTCTCAGGTGTCTTTGTCCTGACTCAGGCCATTAACTGGTTCCGGACAATTCCCCTGACCTTTAAGGACCAGTTCATCATTGCCTATGGAGGGCTCCGAGGGGCCATCTGCTTTGCGCTGGTGTTTCTCCTTCCCGCCGCTGTGTTTCCCCGGAAAAAGCTCTTCATTACGGCTGCAATCGTCGTCATATTCTTCACTGTCTTCATTCTGGTGAGTAGAGTATTTTTCTCCCAGCAAAGTCTCTACCTTCACCGGGAGGAAACCTATCGTTAGACGATCATAATTGTGAGAAATGCTCACCTGTCCGAATTCAATCAACGGTCTCAGAGACAGAATTTGGCGAAACGAGGCTTTTAGTGTGGTCTTGCAAGAGCGGGTGCCCGGTTGAACAGGCACGCACGGAGCAGCAATCACAGGCAATTTATCCCCAATGTGCGAGAGTCCCTCCCCCGGTCCCTCACTGGCTGAGTACTATGGGGTTAACAGTTTTCTCCCTAGGTCACCTAGGTCTTATTATCTTCTAGTGGTTATTTTAAAAAATGGGCTGAGGCCTTTTCTAGTTGCCTCCACCTCCCTTTGTCTAGTTGTGGCAGCGGATCTTCCTAGGAAATGTGCTGCTGGTCACATACAGAGCTCTTTGTGCGTACACCCTTTCCCCTCCTCCCTCATCCCGTTTGCCCTGGGAACTCAGTAACCATTTCCATGAAAAGCTGACTCTGCTGGAGATGGATCCCAGAGGCCTATCTCCCACATAATGAGCCCTTCTACAGGGGCAGCTCCATAAAGGTGCGTGGAAGCCCTATCACATGGATGTTTCTCTCCCCGCTCCGCCTGCCTCCCCCTTCCCTCCCACTCTCTCTAAAAACAATGGAAAAAATAGCCTCACTCCTTGGGTGAGGATTTTAAAATATTATGAAATTACAAATAACTTCAGTAATGTTACATAAAATATAAGCTGTCTCTCTTGTTTTCAACTTATGCTCAAGATCAGGCACAGGTGGGGTCCAGTGTAGAAAGCTGAGCCGTGGGAGTGGCTGTGGGTGGGCGGTCTGGCCGGCTCCTCCCTGCCCCTGCCCCTGCCCCTGCGAGCCTCCGCTTACTTGCTCTGGGATCTGGATAAGGTCCCTCCTCCCAGGCAGCAGAGAGGAAATCTGAGCACAGCAGCTGATGCAGGGACTGGCCGGATGATGTGACTGGATGATTTGCTGTGTTTAATTATAACGAAGTAAAATGGTCATAAAAGGAAGAAAAACTTAACATCTTTTCTTGGAAAGGAAAAATGATTAGAGCACAAAGTTGTTATTTAATTAATCCCTATAATCGTGTAGCGGGTCCTCAGAATTCTGGAAACCCATTCATTGGTTGTCTGGAAGCCCATCAGGTAGCAGGGCTGGCTGGAATTCAAGGGGCAGCGGTCTCTGTGGCCTCCATGGACCACAGTGTTGTATCTGCTCTGCAGTGTTGGCCGGAGTGGTGAAGTGTCTGGATTTTATCTGACTAGCAGGTTACCAGGTTACTGTTACATTTTCATGGATGCTTGCAGAAGACACCTGACTCCCAGGTCAGAGACAAAGGACTTTCTTACTCAGGGTTAAATCCTTCATGTTGGTTTGAGTCAGTTCTCTACACTGAAGTTGCCGTGGGTGACACAAGGGCCGGTGGGGAGTGCCTGCATGTGCAGGGGCAGAGGGACAGGGGCAGGACTGAGCTGAGTTCTGACACTCTTTGTCCGAGGGTAGCATTACCTCATCTCTCAACTTAGCTTGTTGCAAGTGCAACCTTGACACGGCCTGGTGACAGCAGTCAGCCTTGCCCTGCGGCACCCTCTGCAGGGGTGTGGGCACTCGGGACAGCAGGGAGCCTCCCGGACAGCCCGACACCCCTGCTCACAGCCTCTCAGCACTGAGGTGCCGGCACTCTCTTACAGAGCGTGAGCCTTCAAATAAGCCTGGGTTTGGTAAATAAATGGCCATATGTTTTCCATATTGCTGTGCAGTGTAATAATGGCACATTCCTACCTTTCACTCCCATGCCATTACTGGTAGAGTTCCATGGAATTCAGAAAATTTTATTCTTGTTCTACAACAAAATGAGCAAGATGATCAGAATGTTTTAAGATGAAAAATGTAGGTGCATCGTTTAGGATGTGAGAGAGAGAACAGCAGACATAGCACCAGGGGTTCTGACTGAACAAGTGAGGGAAGAAGGGGCATTCAGAGGGACATTCACTTCCTGCAGGCAGTGTGGGGGGCGGAGGGGGGCCGGGGAGACAAGGTTGCCATGCTGAGCCTGCACATTCGCCTCTTGGGGTCATGGAGGCTGCCCTGGCGGCTGTGCGATGTGTCTAGACTCTAGAACTTAGGGGAGAGGCACACTTGAGACGCACCAGCGCGGAGGCGGTTTTGAGAGCCTGAGTCTGGCCCAGTGCAGAGTGAGGAGAGATGGCGCTGACCTTTAGAGGTCAAGCAAACGCTGAAGAGCTGGCCCAGGAGACTGGAAAGGTGAACAGTAACGTTGAAGAAAGCAGAGGAGGCGTCCTGAAGTCAGGTGAGGGGCGTGGACAGGAAAGAGAGGGTTCAAGCCACCCTGGCTACAGCTTTGGGGCCAGGCCAGGTGGGGGGCCCTGTGGGGACCAGGCCAGGTGGGGTGCCCTGTGGGGGCCAGGCCAGGCGGGCCAGGAGGGGGGCGGGGAGTGCCCTGCTTCACAGAGCACTGTCAGAGCATGAAGGGGAGGGTTGGAGGGAGGCGAGCCGGAAGCAGGAGGCAGGAGACACCGCAGCTCCGTGGAGTCTGGGAGAGGAGCTTGGGAGTAACACAGGGGAGCATGTACCGAAGGGGGTTTCTGCGTCTGAATTTAGAGACAGGAGTCCTAGCAGCAGTGGCAGTGAAGGGGCGGGCACAGGGGGGAGGCCGCATGCAGCTGTCACTGTGCAGTGCCAAGGCCTGGAGGAAGGCTGAGCAGAGGCCTTCCCAGGGGCTCGAGCGGGTGGGGGGGGGGGGGTGGCGTGAGACTGCGCGTGCCGGGTAAACACTGTGCCCAGGGGGCTCGCGGTCTGTGAAGTGTGTGTAGCAGTCACACTGAGAGACATCTATTTAAATGCTCTTTGATGGATTTAAGAGAGTGAGCTATCTTTCTAGGCCTTATCAGGTTGCTCCCCAGGTGACCTAAATTAGAGAGAGAAACATCAATGATAAGAGAATCACTGATCAGCTGCCTCCTGCACGCCCCACACTGGGGATGGAGCCCACAAGCCAGGCATGTGCCCTGACGGGAATCAAACCATGACCTCCTGGTTCATAGGCCGATGCTCATCCACTGAGCCACACTGGCTGGGCTAGTGATATATTTTTTTAACAACATAGTTTCTTTAAGTTTTTCCCAAAATTGCCTGCTAAATCAGCAAAGAAATATAAGGCAGTTCCTTCCTTTAAAAAAATTAATTCAAAGAAATCAGTTTCTTCCAAAAGAACACACCAAAAAGGACACTCATTACCGGTATTTTATGAGCAGTAGGTTTTACGGCACTGAGAGCAGAGAGGGGGGCCGCGCAAGCAGAGGGGGGGCCACGGGAACAGAGGGGGGCCCGCGGGAGCAGAGGGGTGGCCGCGGGAGCAGAGGGGAGGGCCGCGGGAGCAGGGGGGGAGGCCGCGGGAACAGAGGGGGGCCCGCGGGAGCAGGGGGGGGGCCGCGGGAGCAGGGGGGGGGGCCGCGGGAGCAGAGGGGGGGCCGCGGGAGCAGAGAGGGGGCCGCGGGAGCAGAGGGGGGGCCGCGGGAGCAGGGGGGGGCCGCGGGAGCAGAGGGGGGGCCGCGGGAGCAGAGGGGGTGACCCCGGGAGCAGAGGGGGGCCGCGGGAGCAGAGAGGGGCCGCGGAAACCAGTTCCTCTGTGCCTGCTGCCCAGCAGCCCTCACAGATCCCTCTCTCAGGTGGCGCGTCTGTTGAGCCAAAGCCGAATGAATGGCTGAAACTTGTACTTGAGCTTTGCAGCTATGTTTTGCAGTGGTTTGATGGAAGCCTGAGGTGGTGTGTTTGTTTGATGATTGTTTTTAAGGGAGTGAACTATCTTTCTAGTCCGTATTGGGTTGCTCCCCAGGTGACCTAAATTAGAAATTTTCCAATGCGCCTTCTCAAAGGTGTTCTTTTTTTCCCCCTCTGTCTCTCCCAACCAAAGACCTAGGCTCCTGTAATATAACATCTAACTTAAGGAAATAAATTCATACGACACTCAGAGGTGCCAAGTACCCTAGTTCCAAAGCATAAGGATTGAGAAAGGAAGGAAGGAAGGAAGGGAAGGAGGGAGGGAGGGAGGGAGGGAGGGAGGGAGGGAGGGAGGGAGGGAGGGAGGGAGGAAGATTGAGGGAAGGAGGGAGGGAGGAAGGAGAGAAACAAGGAAGGAAGGAGGGAGGGGGAAGGGAACCAAGGAAGGAAGGAAGGAAGGAAGGGAGGAAGGAAGGAAGGAAGGGAGGGAGGAAGAAAGATTGTGGGAGGGAGGGAGGGAAGGAGGGAGGAAGGAAGGAGGGAAACAAGGAAGGAAAGAGGGAGGGAGGGAGATGAAGGAAGGAGGGAAGAAAGGAGGGAAGGGAGGGAGGTAGGGAAGGAGAAGGGAACCAAGTAAGGAAGGAAGGAAAGAAGGATTGAGGTAGGGAGGGAAGGAGGGGGATAGAGGGAGGGAGGAAGGAAGGAGGGAAGGAAGAAGGGAGGGAGGAAGGGAGGGAGGGAGGAAGGAGGGAAGCAAGGAAGGAAGGAAGAGGAGAGGAAGACAGAACTTGTGAAATCTCTCCCATGGGGCATGACATGACTCTGCAGATAATCCAGAGAGAGGAGTGACCACTGAAGGGCGCAGTGTCAGCAGCCCTTGCCTACAATCAGTACTTGTTATTAAATAGAAACTAATTATAAGGCACTAGAGGCCCAGTGCATGAAATTTGTGCACTGATAGGATCCCAAGTGGCTGCCACCAGGTACTGCTTCCCTCCCCCCAGCCAGCCCTGCCCCTGGTCAAACTCCTGGATGAATTCCCAATTGAGGGGACAATTTGCATACTACACTTTTATTATATAGCATGTTGTAGTTTAGAAACTTCAGTGGATCGGGAAACCAGGCCATGCCTGCTTCCTGTAGTTGGTCAGTTGTGTCTTATTTGTGACAGTGCAGTTATTTCTCGATTATTCTCCCAGAGTGGAATTGGCACAGGACTGGGGCAGGCCCTTGTCCCATCTTTATTTTTATGTGCTATATTTACAACTACTATGGACCCACTATTTACTAAATGAATAGTGACAGAAAAAAAGCAGGTAAAACGACAGATTATATCCTTAGAGCACATTACATAGTTTTAAAAATTGCAGTGATTTTGTCGATGTTTTCCCTGGAGTTATTAAACTAGTGGCTTCATGGACTCTGGATTCAGTGAAATCCATCTCTGTCAAACACATGTTTGCACCTCTTTTCATTTACGTAAGTTATAAATGACAGAGTGTGTATCGATTAGACAACTGCTATTACCGCCTATGTTATTTCAAAGCAGCACACTTTGAAAGTGACACAGATACAACGAAAGGTGTGTCATACCAAATTTGGTCAAATCAGTTCACACTTCAGACAGTTAAAGTTAAGCTGAAAAATGCCCAAAGCTGGATTGATGGGATAAAATGAATGGCCTCATTTTTTAAAATGCGCACGTGCACGCGCGTGTGTGTGTGTGTGTGTGTGAGAGAGAGAGAGAGAGAGAGAGAGAGAGAGAGAGAGAGAGAATTTGTTTTATTAAAAGCATTCTTAAAGATTTAAAGATGTGTGGAAATATGAGATGGAAATCAAATGTACAGCAGGGAACATATCTCAACATATCCACTGCCCCCAACCCCCAGTAACCCCTCCTATATACGTCTTCTTCATGCCAAGTAGTGGAGCCTTCACCTACGAAGCAAGAGACTTAGGGAACTTCACTGAGCCCCCTTCTCACTGCCCCTCACCTGGCCTATTTTAGGGATAGTATCACCTAATTTTAGTTACATTCCTGCTAGTTTGTTTGACATCTGAAAGTCCTTGTTATTCTTTTTCTAAATTTTTCTGGTTACATTTGCTCTCCCAGCCTCTCAGCTTGCTCTCTCATGTCTGCTACAAATCCTTTGGAATGTTGTTGGGGTTGTATTGCATGGATGTTGAAATAAAATCATTGTCATAATATTGTTCAGTAATCCCATCTAGGAACTGTATATCATTTTAAAACTCAAATCATTTTAATATCTTTTAATTAAATTTTATAGTTGGTTTTATAAAGGTTCTATGCATTTTGTAATATATATGAAGAGAATATTAAAGTATACATACATGTGTATTTAGTGTCTAGACAGTACACTACTCTATATCTAATGTGTTATTTGTACTCTGGTGCATACTATTATATGTGTTCTCTCTCTCTACATGTAGATACAGACATAAGTATAGTTTTCATTGCTATTGTATAGGTGTTTATTGATTCCTTTTTAAATCGGTGTAAGGGATGGATTTGTGTATGTGATTTTATGTAGAGACACTTCATGAAACTTTCTTGGTACTTTTAAATGAGAAATAATCGTCTTAGATATTTTAGGACCAAAATAAAGCGATCCCTGAGCAGCAATCACCTTGTTTTTCCCAAATCTCTCTCCCCCTTGATTGACTCGGACAAGTGGAGCCGGCCCAGCACAGAGCGAGTTCCCTGTCGGTTCCTGGTGGTGATGGAAATGCTTTTCATGTTTCATTATCAAGTCCGCTGTTCCCTGAGGTTTTGGGCAGGTATTTTAGCATGTTAAGGACATTCCTTTCTGTTCCCTGCTTGCCAGACACGCTGTTCTCATTTCCCACGCTGGGGTGAAACATGCCCAGCCCTCCGTGCCCTCCTGGCGGCCAGCCGCGCTCCTCCGCCCAGCGTGTCTGAAGGCTCCCCTCAGTGCTCCCGCGGACCACGCCCGCCTGGCCCGCGCCCTGTGCCTCGCTCATCTCTGCCTGCTCATAGCTGTTTGGGGTATATTTTTCTCCCCAGCACACTATAGTCCTCAGCTGAGGTCCTTAACTATTCCTGTTTGTGTCTTAAATGACCAAGCTCCTGACATGTATAAAATAGATGCTCAATTAAAATTGTTTTAATAAACCAATGAATGTAAAAATCATTGAAAAGCTTTCTATGGATAATACAAGCAGGTGATTCCTGTAACTTGGATAATACTTTATTCTTTCTTAGAATTTCTTTCTTTTCTTAGAATTGCATTTTCAGTTTCTTGCGTCTTGTTCATCCTGTTTCTAGCACATGCCCTCGGGAAAGACGCCAGCTGCTGAGGAGGAAGAGACCACACAATGTCCACACACCGGGTTGCATCTTGGGAGCAGGATATCTTTGCTGGTTATGGGACCTGAGGAAAATAAAAGTTATCATTGAATTTTTAATTTTATTTTATAAGAAAATTCACTTTCTCTCTTTACATGCAGGGAATAACCATTCGGCCACTAGTGGAGTTTCTTGATGTTAAAAAGGCCAATAAGAAGCAGCAGGCCGTGAGTGAGGAGATCCACAGCCGGGTAGGTTCCGGGGGGCTAATGGACCAGGTGAGAAGGAGGACGTGGGTTCTGGCACACAGTGTGGTGCCAGGGGCTCGGTGCCTGGAGACGAGGGATGGAGGGAGGTAAAGAAGAGGGAGGGCCGAGAAAGGCAGGAGTTGGGGTGCGGAATGAGCGAAGCCTCGGGGTGGCTTCTCCAGCTCAGCCTGGTGAGCTCCCCAGTGAGGGGCCCTCATCACCTCCTTCAACCTGAAAATGTTTCCACTAGAAAATTATCATATTTCATATTTTCTAAAATTATGAATAAACATTTAAAGATGAAAAAAATAATCTCAGAATTGCTTAATATCCGTGTGACAAACATCTCATCAATGTTAGAAGATTGATTCTTGTTTCATTGCTTTCAGTAAAAAAAAAAAAAAGCAAAAGCTACTAGTATTTGAAGTGTAGGCATGATATGAATAGAATAGAAATTAGTGCTTTTAGTTAAGATTAATCAATGAGCTGCTTTCTTCTTTCTAGTTTTTTGACCATGTGAAGACTGGGATTGAAGACGTCTGTGGACACTGGGGCCACAATTTTTGGAGAGACAAGTAAGGAGGCGGAGCCCTCACCTGATGAGGTGGCTCCCGATGGCTCTGGGCACTCACTGATGGGAGTCGTTTTTCAGTAACGTTCCCTGTGTTGCCAGAGGGTGTCCTTTAGGACAGAGCTGGGCTGTAACAGACCTGAAGCAGCAGCGGCTTTAACAAGACAGAGTGTGTTTCTCTCTGGTATAAACAGCCAGAGGCAGGCAGTGTAGGTCTCCTCGCTGAGTTCTGCTCACAGGTTCCTCACAGTCCCAGGGCCCTCTGTCTAGTTGATGCCACTAACAACTTCCATTTCAAAGTTGCTTCATAGACCAAAATGTCTGCTCCAGCATTAGCTCTTATGCATGACGTCCAGGCTGACCTTGGGAAGAAGGATCGTGAAGAGACAAAGAATATGTACTGGCCTCCTCCTAACAGGGACACACACATTTCCACACAGTCCTTCCAGTTACATCACAGGCCTGGTCCTTCGCAGCCAGGCCCAGTCATGGGACACTTCTCACTGCAGGTGACACTGAATGCAGTCTATTTGGTAAAAACTGGGGCTCCCATTACTATTTGTTCTGCCAAATATCTTGAGAGCATCTGAGGACATAAATAGACTAACAGAAATAACAAGTATTTTTTAAAGCTACACTTAGCTAAAAGATTATGTGCACTTATATAAATGCATCTATCATCTGTCTATCATCTATCACTTGTCTATCATCTATCATCTATCATCTGTCTGTCATCTATTTATTATCTATCATCTATCACTTTTATCATCTATCTATGATCTATGATCTATCATCTATCATCTATTATCTATCATCTATCCATCATCTATACATCATCTATCATCTATGTATCATCTGTCTATCATCTATCATCTATCATCTATCTATGATCTGTCATCTGTCTATCATCTATCTATCATCTGTCATCTATCTATCATCTACCTATGATCTGTCATCTATCTATGATCTGTCATCTATCTATCATCTATCTCTCATCTGTCTATCATCTATCATCTATGTATCATCTGTCTATCTGTGGGGTTTTTACTTTTAAATGCTCTGTGCTGGATAAATAAGATTCGGTGACTCTCTTCAAGGATCTTAGGGTTGAAGTGGAAAAGGCAGCCTAGCCAGTCAGAACCGCTGGCGAGAACAGACTTAGGAAGGAGGTGGCGTGTCAGCTGGTCCCTGAAGACGGGCAGGTTCTAAGCTGAGGCTGGTGGGTCCTCTTGCCCTCCTGCCTTGTCTTTCCTAACAGAGCCCACCCCAGCTGATTACAGGACGTTGGCCAGCCTACCAATTTATGTAATGTAATATAGGGCATTTTTAAGTGCTTCTATGATGGCGCACTACCTGAGAAGTGTAAACGACAGACTCAGGCCTTTAAATGTTTGCAGTATAATAAAGGCAACAAAAAAGTCATAAAGCAAATAGAGGGGTGAGTGTGAGAGTGTGTGTGTGTGTGTGTGTGTGTATGTGTGTGTGTGTGTGATGTCACTAAGTCATAAAATGAGTTGTGAAGATTTCAAATGCTAGAACCACCTTTATAACCCTGACCATACTGTTTACCAATGTAGAATGGCTCCTTGGACCCAGCCATACTTCATCACTAAAGGAAAATATTTATTTGTCGCATATGGACATAAAGTAATAAAACAACACAAACTAATATCTCCATTGTAAAAATCTGGCAACAGTGACCATTTACCTTGGGCAGTGTTCACTGTTCTTGGAGGCGGGAGGTAGGCCAGAGCACCTGGCCGTCTGCCTGGGACTACGGCCCTGCGTTACAATCCCTGGGAGCGGCTCGACGCAGATGGCCCTGCCTCTCCTCCCCACTGACCCCACAGCCATGCTGTCCCCCTGCTTCTCCCTTTCGCCAGCACTCTTCTCCCTGCCCCATCACCCTGCTAGCCCTGCCTGGTCACAGGTGACAAGTGAGTAGAACAGTTTGTTCCTTTTCAAAAGTAAAGATTGGGCTAAAGATTTATATCACTCCACTGCCCCAAATGAGGAAAAATATGAGTGTCCTGACCAAGTAGCTCAGTTGGTTAGAGCCTCGTCCTGATAACACCAAGGTTGCAGGTTTGATCCCTGATCAGGGCACAGACAAGAATCAACCAATGAACGCACAAGTAAGTGGAACAACAAACCAATGTTTCTCTCTCTCTCTCTCTTCCCCCCCGCCCCCATCTCTTTCTCAAAAAAAATTGATACATACATTTTTTTAAAAATAGATGTGTTAGAGATGGGTTCCGGGCAGAGTTAGAAGAAGGAAGAGGTGGCCCCTGTGGTGTGTGGATTTGCCTGGGACGCAGGTGGAAGGAGGATCGGGGAAAGGCTGGCTGTGTCCTGTCTTGCAGGGAAAGGCACTTAATCTCTGGGCATGAGCCTGTTCCAGCCAAACACTGCAAGTTGCAGGCTAATTGAACTGTAAATACTAAATTTGTCAGAGACAACTGATTCGTGTCTCTGAAAGGCAATATTGTTACATGCCTGACTTGCTCTCTGCCATGTGCATACTTCATTTAATTATTTAAGCATTTCCTTTAAGCATTTCATGCACAATGTTTTACAGTTAAATCTATAATAATAAAAGTATAATATGCTAATTAGACTGGACAGCCGAACAACCTTCCAGACGAAGCCGGGGCTGCAAGGGCCCAGGCAAGCTGCCGCGGCTACAAGGGCCGAGCACCTTGCATGAATTTTGTGCATCGGGCCTTTAGTTTTAAGTAATTTTCTGGATTGTCAAGTGCGCTGTTTATGCTGAGAAGTGGGTATGGAGGGATGCGGTACTGACAAGCCATTTCAGCTTTAGTTCTCTCAGGTCCTACCTCTGGTATGTACTAATTATTGATGTTACGAACGATGACATGAAGAGAAGTGATTGTTTTAGGTGTGCTGGGTACCCTTCCCTTCCCCCTGGAACCCTCATGCTGTTGCTTTCTAGTGTTCTGCAGAGAATTCCGGAGGCAGTGGGTCCTTGGAGAAAGACGTGACAGGGCAATGCAGTAAGGGGGGTTCTCAAACTTGGCAGAAGGAATCTAATGATGGAGAAAGAGACTTCCCATGTGCAGCTTGGCAGAGAAATGAAAGGTGTGGAAATAAAGCAGAAGAAAGAAAGTGCGCAGCTCTGCCCGGCCAGTGTGCTCAGTGCACCAAGAGGTCGCTGGTTCACAACCGGGCTCGCTGGTCCCCGCAGGGGTGTGCAGGAGGCAGCCAATTGATGTGGATGTTTCTCTCTCATCGGCTTCCATGTGTCTCTCCCTCTCCCTTCCTCTCTCTCTAACGTCAATGAAAACATCTTTTTAAAAAAGAAAGTGCACAGCTCCTACCCAAAAACATCAGATGTCATTGTCCTTAATGTTTACTCTTCATTTTGTTTGTCTCTTGGGAAAAGCTAAAACAATAATAATAATAAAAGAAATTTTGAAAAGAGGTGTTGCTGCCAAGAGTCCTGCTCAAACTTAGACTAAAGTCGGGCCCAGCAGCTAGTGCCGTGGCCAGTCACCAGCAAAACTTCTAAGGATGACTCTTTCATGATTCACAGCCCTCAGTGTTCCAAGCCCAGAATGTGGTTAGCGTTGTTTTCTGTTTTTTTCAAAGCACAGGTGTGCCTATAGAACTCCTTGGGCTCATGGTAATCGCTGTCATAAATTTCTTCCTTTCTCAACAAATATTTACTGCATGTGGTTTTGTTTACATATTGACATAATAATGTTACATAACAAACCAACCCAATAGTCAAGTGCTCAAAACAATAGTCACTTATTATTAAAGCGCCTGAGTCAGGAGGTGGGGTGGGGGGTGGGGGGAGGCAGCTGCTCTGGGCAGGGCGGGCGGTCTAAATGTCATGCCCCTGCTCCAGAGGGTTGTGTGGCGTCCGCTGGCCCTGCGGCCTCTTCTGTACCTGTGCTGGCTTCATGCTTCTCCAAGTGGCATTGCCCTTTGTCACGGGACTGATGGTTACTCCACTCGCATCCTCCTCACGGTAATTGTGCAGGCACAGGAGGCAGGGTAGAAAGGCAAGCCTCTGCTTCCATCGCCATGCCTGCTGCTAGCCCACTGACCCACTGAGCTGAGTGGCAGGAAGCGGGCCAGGTGGGTCACTTAGGCCAGGGTGGAAGGACATGGCCAAGCAATATGGCAGAGGATGTGCATATAGGGGGGAACTGGGGCCGCAGGATTCCTTCTTGCGTCCAAGCTTACAAGTGTGAGGCACTGAGCTGTGAGCTGGCAATACCCAGAAACAACCCCCACCTCACCCACGGAGGCCACTCTCGTGCAAGGAAACAGCTCCACAAATACTAGATTCATAGCATGTTAGAAAGTAGCTTCTGTGGAGGAAAATGTATCCGGAAACAGAATAGGAAGTTTGGTGGAGAAAGGGTGACATGTCTGTAGGAGGAGGGTTCTCAGGAGGAGGAAGAGTCAGTAGAGAAGCCATAGGTGGGAGCGCAGCTGGAGAGCGTCCAGGAAAACAGGGACACAATGAAGGCCACCAGCAAGGACACCAGGAAGGACACCAGGAAGGATACCAGCAAGGACACCAGGAAGGACACCAGGAAGGACACCAGCAAGGACACCAGGAGGGACACCAGGAAGGACACCAGCAAGGACACCAGGAAGGACACCAGCAAGGACACCAGCAAGGACACCAGGAAGGACACCAACAAGGACACCAGCAAGGACACCAGGAAGGACACCAACAAGGACACCAGGAAGGACACCAACAAGGACACCAGGGAGGACACCAGGACGGACACCAGGAAGGACACCAACAAGGACACCAGGGAGGACACCAGGAAGGACACCAACAAGGACACCAGGAAGGACACCAGCAAGGACACCAGCAAGGACACCAGGAGGGACACCAGGAAGGACACCAGGAAGGACACCAGCAAGGACACCAGAAAGGACACCAAGAAGGACACCAACAAGAACACCAGGAAGGACACCAACAAGGACACCAGGAAGGACACCAGCAAGGACACCAGGAAGGACACCAGCAAGGACACCAGGAAGGACATCAACAAGGACACCAACAAGGACACCAGGAAGGACACCAGCAAGGACACCAGGAAGGACATCAACAAGGACACCAACAAGGACACCAGGAAGGACACCAGCAAGGACACCAGCAAGGACACCAGGAAGGACACCAGCAAGGACACCAGCAAGGACACCAGGAAGGACACCAGGAAGGACACCAACAAGGACACCAGGAAGGACACCAACAAGGACACCAGGAAGGACACCAACGAGGACACCAGGGAGGACACCAGGAAGGACACCAGGAAGGACACCAACAAGGACACCAGGAGGGACACCAGGAAGGACACCAACAAGGACACCAGCAAGGACACCAGAAAGGACACCAGCAAGGACACCAGCAAGGACACCAGGAAGGACACCAGCAAGGACACCAGCAAGGACACCAGGAGGGACACCAGGAAGGACACCAGCAAGGACACCAGCAAGGACACCAGGAAGGACACCAGCAAGGATACCAGGAAGGACACCAGCAAGGACACCAGCAAGGACACCAGGAGGGACACCAGGAAGGACACCAGCAAGGACACCAGCAAGGACACCAGGAAGGACACCAACAAGGACACCAGGAAGGACACCAACAAGGACACCAGGAAGGACACCAACAAGGACACCAGAAAGGACACCAGGAAGGACACCAGCAAGGACACCAGGAAGGACACCAGGAAGGACACCAACAAGGACACCAGGAAGGACACCAGCAAGGACACCAGCAAGGACACCAGCAAGGACACCAGCAAGGACACCAGGAGGGACACCAGGAAGGACACCAGGAAGGACACCAGCAAGGACACCAGGAAGGACACCAGGAAGGACACCAGGAAGGACACCAACAAGGACACCAACAAGGACACCAGGAAGGACACCAACAAGGACACCAACAAGGACACCAACAAGGACCCCAGTGGGAACCCCCAACCCTAAAGGGGATGTGGCCAGCCTGAAAACAGCCATCAGCCCCTCAGGCTGGCCAGGCACCCCAGTGGGACCCCCACCCTGATCTGGGACACCATTCAGGGCAAACCAGCCGGCCTCCATCCATGCACCAGGCCTCTATCCTATATAATAAAAGGGTAATATGCAAATTGACCCTAACAGCAGAACGACTGGGAATGACTGGTCATGATGACACACACTGACCACCAGCGGGCAGATGCTCAATGCAGGAGCTGTCCCCTGGTGGTCAGTGCGCTCCCACAGGGGGAGCTCTGCTCAACCACAAGCCAGGCTGATGGCTGCCAGCACAGTGGTGGTGGTGGGAGCCTCTCCCACCTCCTCAGCAGCGCTAAGGATGTCCGACTGCAGCTTAGGTCTGCTCCCTGCCGGTAAGTGGACATCCCCCGAGGGCTGCCGGGCTGCCAGAGGGATATCTGACTGCCAGCTTGGGCCCGATCCCCCAGGGAGCGGGGTTAAGCCAGCAGGTGGACATCCTCCGAGGGGTCCCAGACTGCAAGAGGGCATAGGCCTGGTTGAGGGACGCCCCCCACGTGCACAAATTTTTGTGCACCAGGCCTCTAGTTCAGTCATAACATGGAACATGAGGAATGGAGAAGAATCAAAGATAACATCAGGGTTCTGACCTGGTGGCGTTCCCATTAACAGAAATGGGAGGGTTACAGGGGGAGACGAGCCCAGCTTGAGCACAAGGAGTTTGAGATGTCTACTCGATAGCCATGTGGAGATGTTGATTAGGCCGCTGAATATTTATTTCTGGGTTTGGGAGAGAGGCTGGAGCTGTAGATACAAATTTGAGAGTCACTGGCATAGAGATGTATTAAAATCCACGCGACTGGGCCAGTTCACCAGGAGAGTGCGTGGAGGAAGAGAAGAGGACAGAGACAGAACCAGGGGCCCTCCTGCTGAAGAGGACGGAAGAAGAAAAGGAATTTTAAAAAGTGGTTGAGGAAGAGGTAGGCAGGGACCCAGAGCAGTGTTTCCCAGAAGACACTGTTTTAAACAGGAGAGGTCAGAAAAGCTGAGAACTGAATAATTGGTCATTGGATTTATGTTGTGGGGGGGATCACTGGTTACTTCAAAATGAGTAGTTGGAATGGAGTATTGGAGGGAAAAGCCTGAATTTTCAAGAGAAAATTAAAGGAGAGGAATTGTAGACACAGAATATTAACAACACTTTTGAATAATTTTGCCAAAAAGAGAAGCAGAGAAATAGGAAATGTAGAAATACACATTAGATTCATGTATCGATATGTACTATATATTTTTTTTATTTGCATGTATCCATATTTTATGTACATATGTATTTAGGTATGCACATTTAAAAATAATTATAACGTATAATTAAATTATACTTTTCTTTTCTCCAAAAGCGAAATATTTCCTGTTGTGCACACCAAACCAGTCAGTACCAGACTAATGACATGGCCATTGGCTGCTGAAGTATTCGCCACTAGTGTTAGTAGAGAGAAATGGTGCACCTGTGCATAAGGGAAATGAATGCAACACGATGATAGTAATCAGTCATTAGCGAACATTGTAGTTCGTTATTAATAATTATGCTTAATTATTGTAAAAATTAAGTTACAAAATTTTTATTAAAACGTTTCTTACATACCATTATATTGGCTGGGCTGCAAAAATATTCATTGTGGGCTGCATGCGGATGTGGCCCACAAGTTTGACATGCTTGATGTAGGTAGCATTAGTTAATCAAAGCTTTGATTTTCTTTATTTCCAGGTTTAAAAAGTTTGATGACAAATACCTGCGGAAGCTCTTGATTCGGGAAAACCAGCCCAAGTCGAGCATCGTGTCCTTGTATAAAAAGCTGGAGATCAAGCACGCCATCGAGATGGCGGAGACCGGGCTGAGGAGCGCGGGGCCTTCCTTTGCGTCTCTGAAGTAAGCTCCGCTCACAGATAAAAGCTGGCATCTCTGAGTGTGTCGTTGCAGTTAGTTGTAGGGTTTGTGAAGCCAGTAATAATAACAAATTCACCCTGTGTCCTAGAGGTACATTCAGATCTCTCAGAAGAATGCGATTCTGCTTAAAAGTGAAAGTGTAGAGATGTGTATCTTATGCTGTATTACGTCAGGTCATGTCACGTTTCATCACGGTCTGTTACTTTAAAATCGACTATTCAGAAGATGCCTCGTCATGTGTAGGGTGGCTGTGCCTTTCTCATATTTGCTCTGGGAATTCAGTGCTTTGCAAAGTAAGATAGAGTCTCTTCAGCAGGCATTCTGCAGTGGAGTACTTTAAAGTGTGTTCTATTTGCAGGAAGTTATTTAGCTACTAAAGGCCTGGTGCACACTGGCCTGCAGGGGTCGGGCTGAAACCGGCTCTCTGACATCCCCCAAGGGGTCCTGGATTGCGAGAGGTCGGTTCTTGGCACCCCGGAATCGGGCTCCCTCCTCTCTGGTTCCAGGTGCGTCACCCGAGAACCATAGCTGCCAAGTCACCCCAGCTGAGCAGCTCCTACATTGAGCATCTGCCCCCTGGTGGTCAGTGTGTGTCATAGCTACTGGCCGGTCAGCCAGCGGGCCGGTCGCTTAGGCTTTTATATATATAGAAGATTTCCTTGGAGATAGCACAGTGTCATAATTTAAGGCCAGAAAGGACATTAGTTTGGTGATTTCTGCTGCAGTGTTTCTCAATCCAGGCACCTGTTAGAAACAAGTTGGGAGCAGGAACTCCCAGAGCTACTGGGCCCACCCAGACCAACAGGGTCAGGATCTCTGGGGCCAAGGACCAGGGACAGGTGGCTTTATAAGCCCTTCGGATGTTTCTAATTTAAGCGGGACTGAGATCCACTGACCTAGTGTGTCTCCTTAATTTTAAAACAGAAGAGCCCAGCTGGCATGGCTCAGTGGTTGAGCGTCAACCTAGGAACCAGGAGATTAGGGTTCGATTCCCGGTCAGGGCACATGCCCAGATTACTGGCTTGATCCCCAGTGTAGGTTGTGCAGGAGGCAGCCAATCAATGATTCTCTCTCATCATTGATGTTTCTATCTCTCTCTCCCTTTCCCTTCCTCTCTGAAATCAATAAAAATATATTTTAAAAAAGTAAAACAGAGGAAATGAATACTCAGAATTGTGAAGTGATTTACATATAAAACCCAACGTCTTACAGCAAAATTATAGCAGAACCGAAGGACAGCTCTACTGCTTTCTTTTTGCACTGATGAGCTTGAAGCTCATTTAAACTAAATGTCACCTAATTAAAATTCTAACAGTGGGAGCATTTACATGAGAGAGGAAGCTTCAAATCACACCCAACCGCATAAACCATGATTTTACTAGGACTCCAAGTCTCCTATGAAAATTATGGGAGTTTATGCAGCCAGAATGAAAAGCAGCAGTGACCAGGATGGCTTGGAGGTCACGGCATCATGCTGTGTCATAAACAGTAGTGAACTGAGCGGAATGACTGACTTCTCAGCAGAGAATGCTGTGTGCCCTTACGTTGGTCCATTTATTGCCCTGAGATTGAGCTTTCCAAGTAGAAAACGGAGCTACACTGATCTTAAGTGTTCCTCTAGCTTTACAATTTCAAGATCTTTCTTAGGCACCATTCCATTTGTAGCTGAAACAAAGGATGATTCAATTAGCCAGCTTCTCAAGGGAGAGCCATTGTCTCTGTGAGCACAGAAGAGAGAATTCTCAGTTCTACTCTCTGTTCTCTGTTCACAGTTCATTTTGCGGTTGGTAGTAAGGAAAGGCAAGTGTCTAGGACTAGGGAACTCGGCAGCAGAATGAATGGCCGCTGCAGATTGGCTGAATGAGTGCCGCATGCACCACTCCACCTCTCCCACGTGTTTTACCTAGAGAGGAGAAGCAGAGGGGAGATAATAAGGAATCCATTTCTAATCATAATGGACTGAGTGCTACAGACCAGACCAGCTTCTGCGAATAACTAGAAAAAGAGGACAAAATATATTCTTAAAGTCTGCTTTTAAGCGGGGAAGTACCAGCATGGGGGAACGTTTTCAGCCTAGTCACAAGAAAAGTGACCCAAGAAGATGGAGCCGGCAGTAGGCGCTATTTTCCTCCTGGGCCACAGAGAAGGTGTCTGAGTCCAAAAGGTTAGAACAGAGGTTTTGACAGACGGATGGGTCATAGAGATAAGACCGGAATTCAGGGCCCACAAGGGGGAGGAGCTTGGGTATCCCGCTGTAGGTGTTAACCTCACAGCCTGCACCTTAACCTCCAATCAAAGAAGTCCAGTCCAGGGTCATCTTAACCCACGGCTGTTTGTCACTTGAGCCTGATGTTCCCCCTCTCCCAGTTGCTTTAGGGAAGGAAATGTAACTCTTCTTCGGAAAAAATAAGAGCACGAAAAGCCTTAAACTGCCTCTATGAGTTTTCATATTCAATGTTTAGCAGCCAATCAAAAGAAAATGAGTAGACAAGGAAATGTGACTGAAAACATTGAGAAAAAGATAAAAACAGAATAGTAACAGGTAAAAAGGGGATTCAGATAGTTGAGTTATCAAACATGGACTTTAGCCCTGGCTGGTTTGGCTCAGTGGATAGAGCATCTGCCTGCAGACTAAAGGGTCCTGGGTTTGATTCCGGTCAAGGCCTCATGCCCAAGTTGCAGGCTCGATCCCAAGGAGGCAGCCAATCCATGATTCTCATCATTGATGTTTCTATCTCTCCCTCTCCCTTCCTCTCTGATATAAATAAAAATATATTTTAAAAGCATGGGCTTTAAAATAAAATATAATAAGCCTAAAAAAGAAAATGCCATTTATATTTTTGGCGTTGTCATGGAGATTACATGAATAAAAACATCTTAGGGGAATATTTTAGCTTAAAATAAAGCAACTAAATTTAAGATCTCATTTTGTAGGTGTAAACACAGGTTAGATACAGCTGAAGAGATAATTGGTAAATTGGGAGATAGGAGAAAAGAAAACCAGAATGAAGCACAAAGTGGAAAAAAAAGGATGAAAAATGTGGAAAAGAAAGTAAGAAACACATATGGAAGAACTTTCAAAAGTTCCAAAAGGAAGTGAGAGAAAAATTGGTAAAAGCAATATTTTAAGACAAAATGACTAATAATTTCCCCAAACAGATAAAAGACATAAAATGTGACAAACCCCAAGCAGATTAGATATGAAGAAAACCAAATGCAGGTATATGACAGTAAAAACTGCTAAAGATCAAAAGCACGAAGAGAAAATTTAAACATGCTCAGAGAAAAAGAAAAAAACTGACAATTATTTTTCAACAAACACAGTGGAAACCATCATTATCTTAAAATTTTTGAAAGAAAGTAACTTATAACCTAGAGTTTCATATCGTGCTATAACACCCTTCAAAAAAAGTAGGTTAAAAACATTTTCAGATGAAAATCATCACATTGAAGTCAATGATAAAGGGTTTCATAGAAAAGCTTGCAGATGAAGAGAGGAATTAAAACAATGGGAATGGAAAATATCTGTAAAATTAAAGGAGTATTAATTGCATAAAATAATAATGTCTGTGGGGTTTTAAATCTATACAGACTTAAAACTAACAACAATAATAGCTTATAAATTGAGAGGGAGGTAAATGGTATTATTGATCCCTGCATTGTTCAGTAAGTGGTAAAAATAAAAATGTATTTTGGATTTTAATAAATCAATAATTAATATTATAATATCAGATAACCACTAAAAAAATAGTTAAAGAAGGTAACAAGCCAAAATAGAAGAGAAATAAAATAACAAAATAAAATAAATTCTAAAAGGGCAACAAACTAGAATAAACAATCATAGAACATATAGGACAAACAGAATGCAAATAGTAAGAAAATAGTCTTAAACACAAATTACATTAAATATGAACTTCATTTAAAAGGGAGAGATGATTAGAATGGATAAAAATATACAATTCACTAGATGTTGTTTATAAAAGATACTACTTATATGTAAAGTTAGAGGATAGCTAGAAATAAAAGGTTGGAAAAAGTTATACCATTAAAGCACTAAACAAAAGAAAGTTTGTGTAATCACATTACCATAAAATGTAAACATTATGCAAAAATATTGCTATAAATAAAGAAATACATTTTATAATGACAAAGTTTCAAATCTATAAGAAGGCATAAAAGTCTAAATTAGCACACAAATATAACAGCCTCAAATATATGAACCAAAACCTGACAGAACCACAAGTAAAATACACAAATTCGGAACTGTGGTGGGTGTTTTAAGTGTAAACAAGGGAGGTAGTTGTGCTCTTGTCACTACACTTATGCAAACATATGTTATTTAAAACTTGGTGGGAACATCGTACAGGAAAATCAGACACCATCCCTAGCCAGTTTCTCCATGGTTAGAGCGCCAGCCCAAGGCCTGAAGGGTCCCGGGTTCGATTCTGGTCAAAGGCATGTACCTTTGTTGCAGGCTCATTCCCCAGTGCTGGTCAGGGCTGAGCAGGAGGCAACCAGTCGATGTGTCTCTCTCACATCAATGTTTCTTTCTCTGTGTCTCTGCCCCTCCTTTCCTCTCTCTCTAGAAATTGATGGAAAAAATATTGTCGGGTGAGGATTAACAAAAAGAAAGAAAAAAGAAAATCAGACACCAAAAAGATTGTTATTTATTGACCTAATTTTTTCATTTCAACTTTAAAATTATGTTAATTAACTAGAAAGTTGGACAGCTACCTGACAACATCTCAATCTGAAAAGATGCTTCTTTAAAAACCCTTTAAGCAAAGGAGGCAATAACGAATCGTCTACATACAGGAAAGTTTGATGAAGCCTTGCATTTCTTTGTTCATTCCTTTGTGCGTACCCATTACCATTGGGCGCAGGTTTGTACCCAACAATTACCATTATCCTTGGTTTACAGTAGCAACATTTAAAATAATATGAGAACTACCTTCTTTATTTTGTGTGCCCTTGGCTCATCTTCTGTATGCATTTATGTATATTAACTGGCCAGCTTTATATTCTTAATTTATTTTCTTAATTTATTGAGGGAGTGAGAGTAAAACTATATACACATAGTCAATGCCCGTTGTTTGCAGGACTTACAGTTCTATAAAGTTGCCCTTGAACGCTGATTTGCAAACATTGAACATTGCTCCTGGGAAAAAACACAGGGTTAGGTTTCTGGGCGCCTCTGGTCAGAATACTTTAATCAGCTAATCAATGCATAACTTGGTTCCATTTGAAAAAGCCTTATGAAATATACTGTTGTTTCATTGCCATTGAACTTGCGGCCAAGGGCACCACAGCTCATGCTTGAAGGAAGCTTGCGGAGCACTGCTTTCGCAGAAGGCCATCACAGCCCCCAGGCACATGGGACACCGCCCGCTTCAGAACTATGCGTGGGGGCCCTTAAAACAGCAAAACCACCATCACAAAACACAGAACTGCAAAAACTTGTCACTAAATAGACCACGAGAAGGACCGTTCCTGACAGGACCAGAGCTAAACCAGAAAGCAAAGCGCTGCTCCCGTCATCCTCACTTGGGAACCTGCATGTCGATCAACACAAATTTGTCTCCACTTTGCACAGGTCCCCAATGGTTGGGCAGGTCCCCAAGTATGACAGTGTGTTTACCAAGTACATTTTACCAAGTAGGTGAATCTGTTGAAATCCCTGAATAAAGAAGATGGACTGTATATTCATGAATATTATCAATAGTGTTTTTGCAAACATATCTAATGACATGTTTTTAAAGCCCAGGCCAGAATAGCAAAATATGGCTAATTAAGTTTCTGTTGGAAAAAACAATCCTGTGTTACTTTTTTATGACGGATTAGAAATAATAAAGCAATGGCATTATAAGCCACTATAATTTAACTTCCTAAAAACAATCAGATGAGCAGATGGGATGCCTGTGCCGGAGTAACCTGCCCTCAGTGATCTTGCACTGAGATAAAATTTCAGAATTTTAAATTATTTTAAAATGTTGAATTATTCCTGTGTCATTCTTACTTAAGAGTATTCTTCTTAAATAATGATATTATGTCTTTAAGAAAGACTATTTTTGAACAGTAAATCATTCTTTTCTAAACTTTCAGTGACTGTCATGAAGAAAAAATAAGGAAGCTTACACCTGGTGAAATGGATGAAATTCGAGAAATATTATCAAGAAATCTCTATCAAATCCGCCAGCGAGTGAGACTGATTTATTTAACAAAATATTTACTTGCTTTTAATTAAAAATATGCTTCTGATTTTGTACTACCCAATTATAGTGCATATGGTCCCACCATTACACTAACCCTGAGGCCCACTCCAGGCATCTCCTCTCTCTCAGACCCCATTCCACAGTGCGCTGTCCTCCAGGCACCATGGGGAGCCTCTGGGAGTTCTGCCTCTATGAGCTTGGAGACTTAAAATACACATTTGTGGCCCTCGCCAGTTTGCCTTGGTGATTGGAGTGTTGGCCCGTGGACTGATGGGTCACAGGTTCAATTCCAGTCAAAGGTGCATACCTGGGTTGCAGGCTCAACTCCTGGCCCAGGTCGAGGTGTGTGCAAGAGGCAACCAATCAATGTGTCTCTCTCACATCAATGTTTCTCTCTCTCTCTCTGTCTCTCCCCCTCCCTTCCACTCTAAAAATCACTGGAAAAAATATCCTCAGGTGAGGATTAACAAAAATAAAATTAATTTTTAATTAAATAAATGTATGTGTGTGTGTATGTGCACGCGTGTGTATAAAATAATTGTGAAGAAAATAATTGATTGCTTTCTTTTTATTTTTTAATGAACTACCTTTATGGCTTTATAAGACTTTTTAAATGTATTTAACCTTCCTTAAATGCACTATAATTGGATAGTTATTCATAAGGTGCTATAGTTTTTTCTTTTCATGTGTCATCTGAATCGCTTTTTAAACTGCATTTCCATTGTGAACACCTCATTCTCATAATTTGCTAATAATAAAGCTAACACTTAGTGAATGCATACAATTGGGCAAGCCCCATTTCAGCACATTGTATGCATTAACTCATTTAATCCTACAATTAACAGTGTTACTATTGCCTCCGTTTTACAGATGAAGAAATTGAGGCACGGGAGGTGAAGTGGTCCAAGGGCCACACTGCTTGTTAGGAGTCCTCTTCACTCCTGCTGGGCCATCTCTGCTGCTTCCGAGCTGTTCTCCCCAAAGACTGCCCCAATCCACCGACGTTACTCCTCATTCCTCCTCCTCTTCCCTAAAGCACCTTTTTAAAACAATTCTTAAATCTTTATTTGTTGAGAGTATTACAGATGTCCCTCTTTTTCTCCCCATTGCCCTCCTTCACCCAATTCCCGCCCCACCCTAGGCCTTCGCCACCTTAATGTCTGTGAGCATCAGTAATGCATGTCCTATATAATAAAAGCCTAATGTGCTAAGTGTCCAGTCATCCGGTCAGCTGTTCAACCAATCAAAGTGTAATATGCTAATGATATGCTAAGGCCACTCAACCACTCGCTATGATGTGCACTGACCACCAGGGGGCAGACGGTCTGACTGGTAGGTTAGCTTGCTGCTGGGGTCCAGCCAATTGGGACTGAGCGAGACAGGCCAGACACACCCTGGAGCCCTCCTGCAGTCCCTCCCCGGCTGGCCAACCCCCCACATCCCTCCCCGGCCCTGATCGTGCACCAGTGGGGTCCCTCAGCCTGGCCTGTGCTCTCTCACAATCTGGGACCCCTCAGGAGATGTTGGAGAGCCGGTTTCAGCCCAATCCTGCAGGCCAGGCTGAGGGACTCCACTGGTGCATGAATTCGTGCACTGAGCCTCTAGTATGCATATAAGATCTTTGTTTAGTCTCTTCCCGCCCCCCACACCCCTTCCCTCTGAGAATCGTCAGTCTGTTCCATTTCCATGCCTCTCATTCTATTTTATTCACCAGTTTATTCTGTTCATTAGATTTCTTATTAGATATGTATTTATTGCCTTTTTATTGTTCATATTTTTCATCTTTTTCTTCTTCCTCTTTTTAAAGAATACCCTTCAACATTTCATGTAATACTGGTTTGGTGGTGATGAACTCCTTTAGCTTTTTCTTGTCTGTGAAGCTCTTTATCTGACTCTCAATTCTTTTTTTTTTTTAATAAAAATACAGATTTATTGTTGCAATATTCTTACATAACACAGATACCTAGTCATATCAGTCTTTATTAGTCTTCATGTTAAATATAAACGAACAAAAAACTAAACAAATCAGCAAAACTGCTGGAAAATCCCTCCAAACCATGAACCCTTATCAAAATGCACCCTGAGAGGATCAGATGATCTTATCTTAAGTCACCATGCTCTGAAGATTAGCTGCAGCCAAATGTGAGTGTGTAAGGAAGCAATAAAAACAAAATGACGTGGAATCGCACCCAGCGAGCTGGGCAAGTCAAATGGCTCCATGAACATTTCGGCAAAGTGTCATCTTTGTGTAACAAAGATCAGGGGCTTGACCTCGAACTATAGGGTAATTTCAGAGCAATACCAGGACAGCATGGCCAGAGGAGTTGGTAGTCACATGACTTCAGAACATGAGTTCCCAAGGACCCACCGATGAGGAATACCTCCTCTTTACTCTGAAAGCCTGTCCCAGAGCCCTAACTCAAAACCAGGTTACTAAAAATGACTAAGGATCAGCACCTGTCTTGAAAATTCACAACCGTAGCGATACTACATGCGTGCATTTAATACCTGGAGAACTCTTGCTGCATTTCAGAACAGAAAGTTTTGAATGTTAACCTTAAGAGAAAGTATGATATTGTGGCTAAAATACCCAGGTCAAGACTGGCCTGACGTGTCTTCCCTATAAAAGTTGAGATCTAAGTCCATGAGCGACAGGAGACACAGTTTCCTTCGTCTTCTCTCACAGGGGTGCACTGGTGCAGGGGTCTGTCCTTGTCACAAGCCTGCCACGGTTCTCTTCAGGCTGGAGCAATGGAAACAGCTGGTGGGATGATCCCAAGAACTCACCACACCCAAATCCCACACACAGGCATAGTTCAGCCCCAACAGTTTGCATGCCCTGCTAGGACACAGCTCCATGCAAGCAGTGCAGGATGGGACAGCCTATGGCGGCCACCAGACACCCAATCTCTGAGTGCAATGGCAAGGATAGCCATCACCACTTCCCAGAAGTCACTGACTTCCATGGTGGGTCAATTACAAGGCTCTGTGGCCGGGGGGCTCCAGACCGTGGACATGAGGTGGGACTTGTGGGTTTTGCTCAGGCCTGTCATCCAGAACTTGAGAAGTTTTCCGTTGTCCTCCTCAGACGCTCCGAGGATACTCAGGAGCTTCTGTGTGTTCTCTTTGGGCCGACTGTCCACCTTGGTGAATTTGAAAAGGACCTTCACTTTGCTGTTTCATGTGCCAAAGGGACTTAAAGGGACAGCTTTCGGGGCTGCCAGCTCTCACAGTCTGAGAGCGAGGAGGAACCTGTGGGGCATTTGGTCAGCTCCCGCCCCTCCACACCCTCTGGCAAGACAGAAGCTTTTCCTCTTCAGCCTCAGAGTCGTCCCAGTTTTCTGATTCCTCTTCTAAATCCACGAGCTTCTCCGTCTGGACCAAGGTGTCCTGGGGGAGGGAGGGCGATGGGCAGAGGGGCCCCACCAGGAGCTTCTCTGTCAGCGGCAGCCACACGCCTTCAGGAGCCTCAGAACAGAGCGGTCGTGTGCTCTCGCCAAGAGAAAGCTGAACCCGAAGCCCCTCAAGCCTCTTGCCCTTGAGCGCCTGTCCTGGAGGTCACTGATGATCCTGCAGGTCCCCGAGCAGGAAGGGCCAGGAGCTGGAGGTAGATGTGGTCCCTCGTGTTCATGGTGATGCTGGACCAGCGCTGGAAGCCCCAGGCCAGGCTGTCTTTGATGAAGAAGGTGTGTCTGAACACAAACCCAATGTTGCTCGTCCCAGAAGAAGATAGGGCCTTCACGGCCAGGGCAGACCTCACACATGTCCGACTTCTTGGGTCCCGGGCTGCTGGACTCAGTGCTGGCCCCTTCCACTGGGCAGTGTATGCAGATCCCATTGCTCATCTGGATGCCACCCTCCTCCTCCTCAGCCTGCTCCCCCTGGCCAGGGCTGTCCCCAGCCCGCTTCGGAAGAGGGGCGTGCAGAACCTCCATGCAAAAGAGAGTGCGGGGGCCGTGGAGCTCACAGAAGTGGCAGAGGGCGACGATGGCGTTCATGGTGCCCTGGAGACAGCACAGCCTGTGTTGGGGAGGAGGGAAGGCCATCAGCTGCCTGTGTGCTCACACCACAGACCCGCCAGCAACTCTGGAGCCCAGGACTGGGCAGGTATCACCAGGGGCTTCCCATCCGGCAGAGGTGGCCACCCAGCAGGCAGCACCAGCCGAGCACCTATCCTGGGCCAGCACTGCTTTTGGTGCAGGGAGAGCAAGAAGACAGTCCCTGCCCACGAGGAGTTACAGCCAACAGGAGGGAAAATATACTTCCGAGATCACAGACAGCCCTTCAGTCAGAGTGCTGAGAGGGCCTCGAGGCCACAGCACAGGGTGAGCAGCTGCCTCCTCTGCGTGACGCCCACGCAGGGGTCCTGGCCCAGCTGCACCTGAGAGGGATGTGGTCTCAAACAAGGGCTCCTTAGCAAACCCTGAAGGAACAGAGGGCAGGGAGCCAGGGCCTGAGGCAGGCACAGCTGGGGGCTGAGTGTTGGCAGAACTGAGGGAACAAGGGCAGAAAACCAGGAGGAAGAAGATGTTAGGGACCTTTGAGGCCATGGCAAGACTCTGAACTTCTCTGGCAGAGATCAGAAAGCCTTTGCTGGGTTCTGATGAGAAACATGATAAAAGTGAACCTTGCAAAGTCTCTAAGGGGAAATGGTGATGGCAGAGGGAACACAGGCTAGAGCTGAGCGTGGGGTATCTGACCCTCAATTCTAAGTGATAGCTTTGTTGGGTAGAGTAATCTTGGTTGTAGGTCCCTGCTATTCATCACTTTGAATATTTCTTTCCACTCCCTTCTGGCCTGCATCGTTTCTGTTGAGAAATCAGCTGACAGTCATATGGGCACTCCCTGTAGGTAACTAACTGCTTTTCTCTTGCTGCTTTTAAGATTCTCTCTTTTTCTTTAGCCCTTGGCATTTTAATCATGATGTGTCTTGGTGTGGTCCTCTTTGGATTCCTTTTGTTTGGGGTTTTCTGAGCTTCTTGGACTTGTAAGTCTATTTCTTTCACCAGGTAGGGGAAGTTTTCTGTCATTAGTTCTTCAAATAGGTTTCCAATATCTTGCTCTCTTTTCTGGCACCCCCATAATGTGACTCTTGGTATGCTTGACGTTGTCCCAGAGGGTCCTTACACTAACTTCATATTTTTGGATTTTTTTCTTTTTACTGTTCTGATTGGGTGTTTTTTGCTTCCTCATATTTCAAACTGTTGACTTGATTCTCAGAATCCTCTACTCTACTGTTGAATCCCTGTAAATTATTCTTTTTTTTAAATATATTTTATTGATTTTTTACAGAGAGGAAGGGAGAGAGATAGAGAGTTAGAAACATCGATGAGAGAGAAACATCGATCAGCTGCCTCCTGCACATCTCCTACTGGGGATGTGCCCGCAACCCAGGTACATGCCCTTGACCGGAATCGAACCTGGGACCTCTCAGTCCACAGACCGACGCTCTATCCACTGAGCCAAACCGGTTTCGGCCCTGTAAATTATTCTTTATTTCAGTTAGTGTATGCTTAATTTCTGACTGGTCCATTTGGTATTCTCACTAAGATCCTTGAAAATCTCACTAAGTCCCTTGAAGATCTCATGAAGATCTTTGAGTAACCTTATAACCGTGGTTTTGAACTCTGTATCCAGTAATTTTCTTTCTTCCATTTTTTTCTTTTGTGACGTGTTTCTTTGTCTCTGCATTTTGGCTGCTTCCCTGTGTTTGTTTCTATGTATTGACTAGAGCTGCTATGTCTCCTGGAATTGGTAAAGTGGCCTTGTGTAGCAGGTGTCCTATAGGGCCCAGTGGCTCAGCCTCCCAGTCACCTGAGCTGGGCACTCTTAAGTGCACCCCTTTGTGGGCTGTGAGCACAACCTTGCTGTAGTTGAGCCTTGATTTCTGTTGGCCTCACTGGGAGGAGTTGACCTCCAGGCCAACTGGCTGTGAGGACCAGCTGTGACTACAATGGGAGAGCTGCTGTGCAGGAGACACCCCTATGGAGCAGGACTTGCTTCAGTGGGGCTCTGATGCTCACTGAATCTGCCCCTTGAGTGTCACTTATGGATGTGAAGAGTTGTAATCTGCTATGGTCTCATATTGACCACTGGGTACACTGGCACTTGGGTCTCCAGGGAGGTGCAAAGTCAGCCACTGACTGGGGCCACCCAGTAGGAGCTACTGAGAAATCTGTAGATTCCTCCTCTTTGTATCGGGCTTGGAAGTGCCCAGCATTCAAAAATGAAACAAAACAATTGTGGCTTCCAGGCTAAACTGTGTTTTTCAGAACTTGGGATCTCCATTTCCAGGTTCCTCTTTTTCCATCCTTATTTCCACGCCTCCCTCCCTCCAACACCCACCCCAAACCCTACGGAGTACAGGTTCTGTCTTCCTTCCTAGCCTGGGGGACTCTCTTCCCTATCAGCTTCCTGTCAGCTCCACTGATCCATATTCTTCCATTTTTAAGGTTCCCCAACACCTTACATATTATTCCCAACCTTTATTTTAAATGAGCGTGTGCTGTACCATATACGTTTAGTACTTAATTTCATGATTGTATTATTTTGTTAGCCTTCAATGGCACATTTCCCAAGATAGGAATTGAGCCCTGTTCTATTTTACTTCTGCACATTTCTACTAGGCCTAATACAGCCTGGACACAGGAATATTCCAAGAAGTATACATTAATTCTATCAGAAAATGAGCCTAATTACAATTTGTTTTAGGAACAGATTTCTATATAGCTCATAAACTAAAATGTCTGCCATGGACAGCCCACCTTGAGACATTTCACAGCTTCAAAGATGAGGACATGAGCATTGTAGGCGGTAACAGCCACTTGCTCAGCCTTCAGCCACTGGAAAGAACTGTGCCTCTATTGATTAATCAGAGGATATGGCACCACCAAATGTCTCAAAGTGGTTTGTTTTTATACAATGAATTGCTATTCCATGGAGGATGAATAAAGTGGACTTGTATTTTTTCCCCAACTGATAATGATGGGTAAATACATACAAGGTATTTCAAGGTAGACAAAGGCACTTAATAAATTTAATCATTTTCTCATTTATAAAGACCATACTTTCCAATGGGGAGAAAAACTTATTCACTGGCTTTATAAGAAGACTAATTCTTTCAAAATGAGACAGAATGTCACCTTTCATACTTTTTTCTCTCTGCACATTGGCTGTTAAGTACCTCACTGAGATGCTGTGCCAAAGAAACGAAGTAAAGTTTTGGAATTTCTGGGGCCGTGATCAGTTTGTTGTTGTTGTTGTTTTTGTAAAGTGGCACTTGTGTTTTTATTTCAGACTTTGTCATACAACAGACACAATCTGACGGCCGACACAAGTGAGAGACAAGCCAAGGAGATTCTCATCCGCCGAAGGCACAGTTTGCGCGAGAGCATTCGGAAAGACAGCAGCCTGAGTCGGGAGCGCAGGGTAAGGGCGTCGGGGCTCTGGAAGCTCTGCTGAGGGTTGATTCGCAGGAATTCTGGGAGAGAGGGCATTTAAAAGTCTTTCAGAGGTTTTGTGAACACCTATTGTGTTCTGCACACAGTTCTAGGCACTGGGGATACATTGGTAAACAAAATGGAAAGATTCCTATGCTTGTAGAATTCATATTCTCATCAGGGGGAATGTGGTCACCAACAGACAGAATAAGCAAATCCTATATAATAAAAGGCTAATATGCAAATAGACCAAAGGGCAGAATAATCAAACAACTGGTCTCTAACCACCAGGGCGTGCACTTGGAACATGGCAGGCACGAAATTCGTGCACAGGTGGGGAGGTCCCCTCAGCTGAGCCTGCACCCTCTCCAATCCGGGGGATGTCTGACTCCCTCTCACAATCCTGGACCGCTGGCTCCTAACCACTAACCTGCCTGCCTGCCTGATGGCCCCTAACTGCCCCCCCCCCCCACAGCCTGATCACCCCTAACAACCTCTGCCTCCCGGCCTGATTGCCCCTAACTGCTCCCCTGGCCAGCCTGGTCGCCCCACACAGCCTGCTGTTCAGTCATTTGGTCGTCCCTCAATGCACCCCCTGCCAGCCTGGTCACCCCATGCAGCCTGCTGTTAGGTCGTATGGTCATTTTGGTTGTCACGGCCCCTCGATTTTATATATATGGATATATATATTATTGATTTCTGAATAGAAGGGAGGGAGGGAGAAATCAATGATGAGAGAGAATCATTGATCAGCTGCCTCCTGCACACCCCACACTGGGGATCAAGCCCGCAACGCAGGCATGTGCCCTGACCAGGAATCAAACTGTGACCTCCTGGTTCATAGGTCAATGCTCAACCACTGAGCCAAGCCAGCCAGGTCTTATTTTTTATAATATTCTGTATTTGGTTATCAGAGATAAAAATTTTATGTTTGAACAAAATTATCTTTATCTTTGTGTTCAATATGGCAGCATTGATTAAAAATTAAAGAAATTAAAGACAATGGCAATGAAAATGTCAGCAAAATAGCTATAGTAATGCTGTTTGTTCTATCATTTTCAAGACATTCAAGTAAATAAAACTAAAATATGCTACAACTTTTAATCTATCTTTTTCTGCATACCTATCAGTTCTAAGGCTTTTTCACTAATATTGTCATAAATAGGTGGTTCGGTCTCTTTTCCTTGAGAAAACACAGTGGTTTTCACATCTTGTTCCAAATGGTTCCACTTTATTTCCCTTTTTTTTTCTTTTTTTCTCTCTTGGCTTCTTCTATATTTTAGAAGAATTTTAGTGATTTTAAATTAAATAATTATTGCTAGGGATTTTCTTCCCCATCCCTAAAGGCCCTCACAAAGTAATTTTGGCATGGAGAAGTAACATGTTACATTTTAATAAAGTTTGTCATAAGAATTTAAACTTCTAGTGAATGCCATCTGCATAGTCTAAGGTTTTCTGTGTCTTGTGCAGGCTTCCATGTCAGCCTCCCGATACCTGTCCTTACCCAAAAATACGAAGCTTCCAGAAAAGCTACAAAAGAAAAGGAATGTTTCTAATGCAGGTAATGAATACAGGTGGAGCAGAGAGGAAGATGCTTCTGTTCTGCCTTGTTACGCACAATGAGTTCAATAGTTTTCAAATCTAAAGTAACAATACGGTGACCTTTATTAGCTTTGCAGCCTTTTGGAATGGAGTTCTGTGCACATTCCAGAATTCAATCAGTTATTTTTCATAATGATTCTATTTGATGTAGCAAATGCAAATATTATTGCCATGTAGTTAGTGAACAGGGGTCCTCCACTACTGGGGTCCTCCCCCAGAAAAGCTAGAAATGTGCAAAGGTGTGTTTAATTTTTACAGTAATTGTAATATATTTTCATAAATCAGCCATATATTTTACTCCTGTAATTATTTAAACTTTGACATAAAGTCAGATACCTCTTTATTTTATGATATCTTTATGTAGATTCCGAGCCATTTTCTGTGAAACCCCAGAAGAAAAATGTTAGAATATCATGTTCTTAAAATGTAGATGTAACAACAATACCCCACCTTTTTTCCCTTGTTTGTTTATTTTACCAAGAAGAGGAACGTCTAAGGATGGCCTGTGTGTGGAGGCTGAGGTGGGAAATGAGAGGGAAGGAGGGGGAGGGAACCTGGGCGTGCAGGACAGTGGCCACTGACATCCAGCAGAAATGCTGTTACCAAGACTCTCAGCTCCCAGCATCCCAGCACCTCCTCCCTACAGGAGTCCAGGACCCCAGCAGTGGAGGGCCCCAGCAGTGGAGGACCCCAGTAGTCCAGGACCCCAGTTTTTATGCAACTGGTTCTAATCTCAACTCCTCCCTCTGTTCGGAAGGTGCACACTGGTTTTGACCCTTTTGTAAAAATATGAAGAGAATAAACAAGGCTATATATGAGATCAGATCAAGGCAAGATCTTGCAATAGCAGCTAATTCTTGGTGTCTTCCCGTGGTGGGCGGAGCCCCCTGGGGCAAGTCCTGGGACAGGTCCCTGGGTCAGTTCCCTGGGGCAGGTCCTGGGGCACATCCTGGGGCAGGTGGCACACAGCCCAGGCTGCTCTCGGTGCCAACAGGCTCTACCACACTGACCCCTGAGCCTCAGTCCCTTCATCTGAGATGGGGGATGTGAGGGGAGGTTCAGAGGTGGGTGTAGTTAGAGCTGAGGTCAGTGCTGGCACATGTCAGAGCTCCGCACCATCTGCGGAATGCCCAGGGATAGCCCGAGGGCTGGGGGCTCAGGCAGGTGCCCAGCTTTCAGTGGGAGTCGGGAGGGAGCCTGCCTCACACAGACCCCTTAGCACTGCCATCGGGGACCTCCTCTGAAGCGCGTTCCCTGCTGACCTTCTGCTCGGTGCAGGTGGCAACAGCAGTGACTCGGACGCAGATGCCGGGACCACTGTCCTCAACTTGAAGCCCCGCGCGAGGCGCTTCTTGCCGGAGCAGTTCTCACAGAAGGCGGCCCAGGCCTGCAGGATGGAGTGGAAGAACGAGGTGGACGTCGAGGCGGCCCAGCAGCCCTGCACCCCAGCACCCCACCGCAGGGAGGGGGCCACGCAGACCCCGGGCGCGCTGCGGCAGCCCCTGCTCCCCCATGGCCAGCTAGGCCCCGGGCAGGAGGGCCCCACGACTGAGAGCCAGCGACCCAGGCCGCCCCCCAGGCTGGTGCGAAGGGCCTCGGAGCCTGGAGGCCACAAAGCTCGCTGGGGGAGTGAGCGGCCCTAGCGGGAAAGGCCTGGGCAGCCAGCACCACTGTCACTGCTCCAAACAGACGCAGAGACCCAGGTCACCCTCCAGGCCTCATCCTCTCCTGGAGAGTGGAGTCACGCCCTTGATTAACGAGCCGATTGCCTATCCTGAGAAGTGGAAAGTCAACAAGAAAAAGTCCGGTGAAATGTCTTTTATGAGTTGCGAGCAGTTGTAGTCTTTGCAGAGCTGAGTAAAAAAATGTGTGCCTTCATTGAACTTGAATGACTGAACTTGACATTTTTAGCACACCCTTGTCGGTGAAAATTTTAATATATGCATATGCCTCAAATTTTATTTATGAAAAAGTATGTTTATCTGTGGTCAGTTTTTAAGTGAATGGCCCTAAAAATACTCTGAAGATCTTCCCGAAGCGTAGCGGCGGCTCCTGTGGCCAGTGCTCCTGATGGCCAGCACTCCTGGTGGCCGGCGCTCCTGGTGGCCATGGCTCCTGATGGCCGTGGCTCCTGGTGGCCGGGGCTCCTGATGGCTGTGGCTCCTGGTGGCCAGGGCTCCTGGTGGCCAGCACTCCTGGTGGCCGTGGCTCCTGGTGGCCGGGGCTCCTGGTGGCCAGGGCTCCTGATGGCCGGCACTCCTGATGGCCGGGGGCTCCTGATGGCCGGGGGCTCCTGGTGGCCAGGGCTCCTGGTGGCCGGGGCTCCTGATGGCCAGCACTCCTAATGGCCATGGCTCCTGGTGGCCGTGGCTCCTTTTGGCCGGCTCTCCTGGTGGCCGGCACTCCTGGTGGCTGGAGTTCCTCGTGGCCGGGGGCTCTTGGTGGCTGGGCTTTCTGGTGGCTGGGGGCTCCTGGTGGCTGGGTGTTCCTGGTGGCCGGGGGCTCTTGGTGGCTGGGATTCCTGGTGGCTGGGGGCTCCTGGTGGCCGGGGGTTCCTGGTGGCTGGGGTTCCTGGTGGCCGGCACTCCTGGTGGCTGGGGTTCCTGGTGGCCGGGGGCTCTTGGTGGCCGGAGGTTCCTGGTGGCCGGGGGCTCCTGGTGGCTGGGGTTCCTGGTGGCCAGCACTCCTGGTGGCTGGGGGTTCCTGGTGGCCGGGGGTTCCTAGTGGCTGGGGTTCCTGGTGGCTGGGGTTCCTGGTGGCCAGGGGCTCCTGGTTTCTGGCGCTCCTGGTGGCCGGCGCTCCTGGTGGCTGGGGCTCCTGGTGGCTGGCGGCCGGCACTCAGAGCCCGGCCTCCCTGGCTCCATCCTGAGCTCAGGAGCAGCTGAGGGCCTGGCTCTGAGCCCCACCCAGGAAGATGGAAAATCAGCTGGTTTTTATTTGGTCCTCATTCTACGTGTGTTGGGGTGACATATGGATTCCATCGCCTCTTCGTGTGTAAATGGTGCAAAGAGAAAGGCTGTGTGGGTGACACCAGTCTGTGGGTGTGACAGATGCATGGCAGCTTCGATGAAGCGACACTGTGGGGCCTCTGGCGAGTGGGAGCCAGTGCAGCGCCTGCTGAAACGCGTGGGCCGGTTGGAGTGTGAGGGGCTGGAGGAGGCGGCGGGAGCGTGCCCTTCACGCCCGCCTGTGACCGTCTGCTTGGGGATGTTTCTGCAGCGCAGTCGGGAACGTTGAACCCAGAGGCTTTAGCAGACAAGATGGAAAGTTTATATAACAGTATCCAGTGTTTAACAGGTTGGTTAGACTTCAGGTTTGACTTTTACTCAGGCAGGAAGCACTTTGGAGAGTGTGGGAGATCTGTTATTTTGCACTAGTTTGTAAGTTTTGACGCCCCCCCCCCCCCCAAATAAAGTGGTAACTCAATTCTTCATATAAAAATTGACTCTACTCACCTGAGTGCTTTTAAAAGCACAGCAGGAAGAGCAAGCAGTGGGACATAAGCATTAAAGATGACTTGAGTTTCCGTCTCTTATATGCAGATTTTCTTGGACTGACAGTTTTTCTGGAAAAAAATAACAACCCTCTTTCAAACGTGACTGGAACAAGATTCTAAATGTCTGGGTTTGGACATGAATTAAGCCACTCGTGTAGCTCCACGGATTCACACGGGAGGAACAGCAAAGGGTACGCGTGGCCGCAGTATTACTGATGGAAAACATGCGTAAATTTAACGACACAGTGCTTAGGAACCCTTGGCAGCGGCTCTCTGCCCCCATCTTCTCCCCCACCGATGTGCAGAAGTAACTATTCTAGCCTTTCTTCTCATGCTGAAGGCTCGGGACACTGATGGGCTGTGGGGGGAGGCAGAGGGGAGCGCTCACACATACAAGACCCAGGCATTGAGAGCACCGTTTCCTTCCAAACTCCCCCTAGTTGGTCGGTGGAAAGCAGTGGAGACTCCATTTGAAAACTACAGGCCTGGGATTCTGTGCCAAAAACCTTAATTTTAAATGAAAATGTGTATATAAAATATGTGTTGCATCTGCTGAAAATAAATTAAAACTGATTTACTTTGGAATTTTACTATAGGAATATGATTCAAGAGATATGATGTGTATTTTTGAGACTGCCAAGAGTGAATTTTAAGTAGTTCGTTTATGAAACTTGAAAAGGAAGGTTGAAATGGAAAATGATCTTAAAAAGAAATTTCCTAATTTTTCCTGGTGTTATTAATAAATATTATAAGGAGTGGAACTCTCTGAAACTGAAGGAGAATAAAATTAAATTTTTTATAACACTACTTCTTAAGTTGGTACACCAAATTCAGCTTCCCCTTATTAAGAGTTAGATAAATTTCATGGCATTGTGTAAATTTTGAAAAAGGGAATGTCATTTATCTTTATTATCAGTATAAATTTCCCCCTATTTGTTGGTTGATAAAAATAAAAAATAAATTTGACTTCATTTAGCTTTTTCTCTATATTTTCTTCTTTTTAATAAAGCTATTGAATTCTATACACTAAAGAAGGAGAGAGTAGGGAGCTGAAACCCTGCAGCCAAATATGGTAACAATGTACACGTCAGTGATACAGGCAGATCCTCCACCTTAGGTAACGACTCCTTCCTTGGATCGCGGGGTCCACCACCCCACCCTCACCCCCCACCCCCCCACCCTCCCACCCCCCCGCTCAGTGTGACTGCAGAAGGCCCTGGGCCTGTGGCGGGGCAGTCAAGCCAGCTAGCAAACAACTAGAAATTGGCCTGCGAATCTGCCACTTGGCTGACATTCGCTTTGGTTTTGCTAAGCTTTGTGGTGCGGGGGCACCATTCTACCAGGGGAGTGGGTGTTTATATAAAAACCTAAAGAAGCACAGCTGTCCGTTCCATGCCTCGGCACGGCCTGCATTCGCGGCACTGCCCCAGTCATGTTTACGGCAAAGCTGGCATGCCATAATTCACGGTGAGAGCAGTAGTATTTCATTCCTTCACAGTTCACGCTGCTTTATTCTTGAGTGAGTGATTACGGAGTTCGTGTGCAACTGAAGGGGTTGTGGCATGATCTGCCAAGGCCTGAGCACAGGTTGATTCCGTCCTCAACCTGGAACAGGAAGGCTCAGGCCTCAGAAGTCTGGTGACCTGGGGTTTACAGTTAGTTTTTTTTTGTTTGGTTGGTTTTTTACTTTTAGAACAAAACATGTAGCTTGCTGGTACTTTATATCCCGCATTTTAACCAGGGCCCTTTGCTCAACTCACTTGTAAGGCAAGCGAGGCTCATCTGGGTCACTGCCGCCTGGCAGTGAGCACCTCTTTGTCCGAGAGAAATGACGCTCCCCTGCAAATGCTTCTCCAGTGCCATCCCCTGCCCGTGCGCTGTGGCTGCCGCCACACAGGGCCGACCAAACACCCACATGGCCCGTTTCCAAAGTCTTTTTTTAAGCTTTATTGTTGAAAGTATTACATATGTCCTTTTTTCCCCCCATGAACCTCTTCTAGCCCACACCCAGCCCCCGCCCCAGGCGTTCACCACCCCATTGTCTGTGCCCATGGGTTTTGCATATATGCATACAAGTTCTTTGCTTGATCTCTTCCCACCCACCCACCTCCCCTGCCTTTCCTCTGAGGTTCAACAGTCCACTCACCCTGGCCGTGACATCACCACCGGGCCCTGTCAGAAGTGGGCCTTCGGGATGCCCTGGCCTGGGCCCCCGCCCCAGAAGAGGAAGGCGAGCACAGCGCTAGCCCGCCACACGCAAGCCCACAGGGCCAGGCCTGGTCCGTAGCAGCACACTTACTGCATTAGGTTCATTTGGGACATTTCACGTGGTTTCAGTTACGTTGAGCGAACTCGGGGTGGGTTTGGTGGTGAGCTGTCACAGGAAAGGTAATTCTGTCTGCATGCAAACCTGAGTCCCAGCTATTCAAAACACAATAGACTCTTTGCTAAGCCAGAAGAAAGATCATCTCTCATCCCATATGGTAAATTTAAACTATTAATAGGTATTTTAATTCCTTTTTTTGTCCTCTGCAGTGTATGATTTGGAAAATGGGTTTTTATTTATTACCTAGGGGCCCGGTGCACGAAACTCATGCACTGGGGGCAGGGTCCCTCAGCCCAGCCTGCCCCCTCTCACATACTGGGAGCCCTCAGGGGATATACTACTAACGGCTTAGGCCCGCTCCACAGGAAGCAGGCCTAAGCCACAGTCTGGCCTCTCTCTGCAAGAGGCGACCGGGCTGATCAGGGGAAGGCACCAGCCCCATCACCCTGCTGCTGCAGCCACTGCCAGTCACTGCAGCCACCAAAGTGTTTTCATAAACACGGACTCCAGTCCCTTCACCATGAAAAAATGACAACTTTCTTTCAGCATTTTCAAGATGTGTCTTTCATAGGCTATGACATGTCTTTCTTTCTTTTTTTTTTATCCTCACCTGAGGAATGTTTCCATTGATTTTTAGAGAGTGTGGAGAGAGGGAGAGACAGGGAGAAACATCAATGTGAGAGGGACACTTTGATTGGTTGCCTCCTGCATGAGCCCTCCGCGCTCCCAGGCCCCAGGCTCGCCTCCTGCATGGCACACTCTGTCTTGTCCAAAGGCGCATGGTTCTCACCCAATCGCAGGCTGCTCTCTGTACTATGGACACTCACTTCACTCCATGGAAACAGCCAAAAGAGACCTGTTGAAATGCGCGTCTGTTAAAGTGGGTGACTTCACGGTCACACACGCCTCCCACGGGGACAGGCAATGACTGCATTAGGTTATATTGCACTTTTTTATTAGCAGATTTACTCATCTGTATTCTTGAATCCAGTTTTTAACCATTCCCACAGCTACTTCTACTCCATTTTAATACCAGAATTCTGCAATTCGCCTTAAGGAAAAATCTATGCCTAAGTAATACTCACTGTTTTCCCCAGCTCAAGAGCCTATGAGGGCTTCCCATATCCCACCATTTCATATCTAAATTCTTAGGCTTTACACTTAAGTTCTTCCCTCACTACTGTGCTAATTCTCTGACTATCCACCATCTGACCACCCACCCAACACTGAAGAGTCAGGCTTCTAAATGCTGAATCCTGTGCTAGCCACTACATTCACACACAAGGCAAGGCCTGTACAATCCCTGTCCCCAAGGAACTTAAACCTGAGGGGGTGCGGATAATGATGGACAAAATAAAAGCAATTCGATTCCAGGGTAAGCGCTACGCTGGGGAGGCAGAGGGTGCTAGGCCAGCCAGCCCTGGCAGGGCGTGGCCGGGGTTCCTGCACCAGCAGCCCGTCAGGAAGCACCTGCAGGATCGCGCTTTTGCAAGTGTTTCCATGGATCTGTGCAAACCTCCACTCGTTCTCACAGCACGTCCACCAGGGCTGTTTCTCCAGCTCTGATGACGAGGAGACGGAGGCAACCCAGCTGAGGCCCACACTGAACGGGGCCGGCAGGGACGACACCTGATCTCAGACCAGAGCCTGAGTTCTGACCCAGGAGAGAACAAGTCATGGTCAGGGAAGTGGCAGAACAGAGCAAAGACATAAGAAGAGGTCGGGTTGAGGAAAATGGCCGTCATTGAGGACAAAAGTATGACAAGACGGATTGAGATGACAGCTATACACTGCTCACCGCCCAGGAAGGCCCAGCACACTGTGCAACACTGTCTGTGTCCCCTCTCTCTCCCCCCTGCATGTCTCTGTGGGCACTGTCTG